TGGGAGAGTGTCAGAGATTGTTTCCCCTGCTCCATCGTCAGCGATGACACTGTCCTTGATTTGTTTCTCTGTAAATTGTCTAAGGATTGTATCTGCAATCCATTTGCACATGTTTGAGGGCCACTGCTCTGTACCTGTTGTTGCGAAGGAACTTCCAATATTGCCCACAAGTTGTCTTTTTGCGTCCCTGGACTCCAGTGGACCAGCGTAAAAACCTTGATCATCAAAAAAGGGCCCACCTTTGCAGAAAGAATCATGATGATACTTGAAATTCGCCAGCAACAACTGAGTTGGTTTCAAGTACTCAGTTCCAAAATCCTGCTGATATAGCGCAACTGTTTCAACATCTTGCCTCTTCAGAAGACGTTGAAATTCACTCCACTGCCACATGCTTGCTGGTCGTTTACCTCTGTGCTCCCCCGTCTTGATCGCTCCCAAGTCTTCTGGGTTTTCAAACAAAGCCATGCCACCCTGATTTACCTGCACTTCAAAAGCTTTGAATGTAAAATCTGACATTGTATTGCACCACATTGCACGTTTACGTTCTACCCAAGTCAATCTTGTAAATCCACGTGGCTGCACAAAGGATCTCACTGGCCTCGGTCCTCTTCTGTTCGCCCAAACCACTCTAGAAAATGTGCTGCACGGTGGGCTGAATAAAACTGCAAAAAATCTACCCGATGCAATCTTGTTTAACAAACGTTGCTGGGTTTCTGCACGAGTGAGGTCCAGGAAGTACTAGATACGTAAGGGGGAATCCACCCAAAACCCTCCCTTCTATGAGAGAGTACCCATCGCTTTGCGCATTGTCAATTCCGCTCCAAATCCTTAATCCAAAAAATTTCAAACGCCAACGCCGCGGAGAAAACACGTGAGGCTATCGCCACGGTATAATAAAAATAATATATGGAAAAATCGTATACGACAGCTTCACTCGTGATGCACAGCTTTATTAATCTTTCCTTTTTCATTCTTCCTTAATTGTGAGTTGGCTACCACAACCTGTTTTATTTCTTTGCTCAAACGCTGGCCTAGAAATATGGCCACCGAGCGATTGAGCCCCCCCTAGGTCGTGGGTGGGTGGGCTACAAAAAATGTGCACCAACCCAAAAACTTGATCCACTGAAATATCACGAATACAAAACAGAATGAGAAATGAACTTCAGAAGCATTATTCCTTGAAACTTGATTCCGGCTTCTGAAATTCAAACCAAAATTCTTAAACCCATTTCCGAGGAATGTTGTAAACAGTCCTTTGTGAGAAACGGAACCAAAGCCAAAACTCCCTTCAAACAGTTGGTTAAAATACACTTGGAGTTTGTGAGGTTTGGTTTCATCTCACTTCCAAGTTACTTCCCAAGAATAACTTCCGCAGAGAACCGGCGGAGGAAGAAACCGCTAAACGCGTGGCAGGAGTAGGAAAGGATAGGAGATGACCAGAAGAAAGCGAAAGCGAAATGTAAACCGGGCAACGCTTAGGAGCATAGACACGGCCCTAGCGTGCGCAAGGGGGATCTTACGTCCGAATACACAGTCGCAACACGTCGCGATTGCGTACTAGATACGTAAGGGGGAATCCACCCAAAACCCTCCCTTCTATGAGAGAGTACCCATCGCTTTGCGCATTGTCAATTCCGCTCCAAATCCTTAATCCAAAAAATTTCAAACGCCAACGCCGCGGAGAAAACACGTGAGGCTATCGCCACGGTATAATAAAAATAATATATGGAAAAATCGTATACGACAGCTTCACTCGTGATGCACAGCTTTATTAATCTTTCCTTTTTCATTCTTCCTTAATTGTGAGTTGGCTACCACAACCTGTTTTATTTCTTTGCTCAAACGCTGGCCTAGAAATATGGCCACCGAGCGATTGAGCCCCTAGGAACCGAGGTCGGCCATTCACCATGGTTTGAGGGAAGAAATTCGTTTTCTCTTCCGGGGCAACTGAACCTTTGGTTCTGATTTTATCATGAAAAGAATTTGCATGGGCCATGAACTCTTCAAAAACCAACCATTCTTGTTGAAACGGATCCCACCTGACGCGGTCCTGCAATGAGAACATGTCGAACTTCTGGTTGGTGAGATCGTCGGCCAGTTGATTCCATTCACGCGGAACCCAGTCCAGCTTCAGATTGCATCTTCCAAGTCTTAACGACTCTGACATTTCCATAATAAAAATTGTAAGAGGAAACTTCGTGCTCATCCATTTTGTCAAAGCGTATGTGTTGGATTGATTATCCGTTTTTCCCTTCAACCAGCATACGGCCTCAGAGTGTTGTTGCGCTGGCGGCATCCACAGTTTCACCGCAACAAGACTAGCCAGTAACTCCAAGGCCGCAATGATCCTTTTGGGATCCCTTTTAAGCTTCAGCCACGGCGCCCAAGCAATCGGCACCTCTTCTGAAAACCACTCCAGCACCTTTCCACTCGCATCTTGTTTGAAGCCACCAATCCAAGCTGAATCTTCTGTGGCCTTGGCATCTGTATAACAAGTAATCTGCTTGCCCTCCGATTGTTCAAGTGGAGGGGGGCACTGCAAATCACCACCCTCCAAAAATCTCCTTGCCAAAAACCTCAAGATGGTTCTCAACATTGCAGGCACCCGCAATGCTCCACGCTTCGTTCTGATGGCCGCACACCAGCTGTAGAGCGGCCCCAAAAATGGCCTCTCCCATGTCAAGGCCATGGCTGCAAAGCCTAGACGGCCCAGCCCTTGCTCAAAGTTCTTTGCTGTTGTTGTACCAGTGTCGGCAAGTTCCTTCACCCAATCGTGCATCCAGCGCGCCCGTGATGGAGACAACCCCAGCTTGTAAACGGAGTAGTCAGAAAAAAGTCCAATCCACTCCACTCTAAGTCCTCCCCTCTGCTTTGCCCACTTAAAAGGAAAACCTAAAGCAGACATGTAGAGGAAGGCAAGGGTTATTCCTCTCCGACCGCCGGCACTTGCACCCAAAGCTTCAAGATCGTCAGCGAACAGAAGCAGCTCCACCGGCATCTGTGGACCCAAAAGCTCATGCACCAATCGGATCCCTGCACCTGCAATCCTTCCCCACCAGTATGAAGCACATGCCACTCCAAAAGTTCCAACATTGTTTATGTATAAGTGGTCGTCTGTATCCAGGACTCTGCATGCCAACAAACCTCGTTCTTCTGGAGAATGAAGGAAACGCCTGTGAGCCTTGGATATGTCTCCAACCAGACTGAAGACCGAGCATCTGTTCTTCTGGAAATATGCCAAAAGGTATTGTTTCTCCCTCGCACTGGGGGACCTTGTTTTGTCACGGCACCGTATCCTGTTGTTTAACTTTGTACCGTGAGTGGCATCGTGAATCACCCTCCTTTTTCCTTGGTGGTTCTGCTCCACCAACACCGCCAGCGAAGAAATTGCAACCTTGTCTCCAAACCTGGTTTTTGCCTGCTCCAGCGTGAGCTTCTCCATCAAACCTTCCGCACACTCCTCTGCAAAGTGCTCCCTCACAAATTGTACATGGTCACCTACCGACTGGTAGTTTGAGCGCCAAACCTCCTCTTGCATGTGAGGGTCGTCCTCCAGCCGCCACGATGTCTGCTCCTCGTCGCAGTGCGGTGTCCTCGGCAATGGATTTAGAACACCCACAGGGTAACCAACTTCGCCCTGCATCAAAAATTCCCTGTCTGCATCTTCTCCAAAAGCAAGTAACTCCTTCATGAGTCTAAGGTGGAAAGGTTGCCCTGGGGCCACATGGTCTAAACCCTCTTGTTTCGACCCATGCTGTTTGAGCAGGTCAATCCAGAAGAGACGAATATCGTTTTTGAGCTTCTCATCTCTCGCAATACTGCAGCCTGCTTCGCCTCGTACTGCCATCTCAAAGCATGCCCTGTCCAAAGCTCGCTCATCACCCAGATGCTTCTCTATCAACTCAACCGTCCCTTTTCTCAACCTTTCCCAAAAGGCACCCTTGCTCCAAATCCTCTGCTCCACATCCCATCTCCCCATCGAGAGGAGTCCAGCTCCATCATGAAAAAGCCGGTCTTTGCCCGGTGGCTGACACTTGCGAGGACTCCCAAGCCCCCCTGCTATTTTCCTGCCATCCGGTTTCAAAACTTCATAGTTCTGCCTGTCCGAGTCCTTTGTTTGGACCCCTTCGTCAGCGAGGGCAGCAGTTGTTGCAAGGTGCCAAGAAGAAAACTGTTGTAAAATGCACGTTGCAATCCATCTGCACATGTTTGATGGCCACTGTTCTGAACCAGTCGTTGCAAATCTATCACCCAGTGTTCCGACCAGTTGACGCTTTGCAGAGCGTTGTACCAGTGGTCCAGTGTAAAAACCTTGGTCATCAAAAGTTGGTTGTCCTTCCAAGCTCTGCAAACCCCCCTAAAAGCAGTCTCGTGGGTTTGAGGTAGTCAGTTCCAAAGTCCTCCTGATAAAAAGCTGCTGTTGTCACCCGCTCATGCTGCAAAATTTCAAGAAATTGTTCAAACTGCCACATACTACCCGGTCTCCGGCCAGAATTTGGACCTGATTTGATGGCACCAAGGTCCTCCGGGTTCTCGAAAAGTGCCATTACATGTACGTGTTTCATCTGCATTGCAAAAGCCAAGAAAGAAAAATCTGCCATTATGTTGCCCCAGTTTGCTCTCTTCCGCTCTGTCCAGGAAAGCCGCGTGAAACCCTTTGGCCACACGTAAGAACGGACCGGCCTAGGTCCTCTCTTGTTTGCCCATGTCACCCTGGAAAAAGTACTGCAGGGTGGACTAATGAGCACTGCAAAATATTCACCAGAAGCTATCTTGCTTAACAACCGCTCCTGGACAGCCTTTTGAGTTAGGTCGAGATGCGGCTTTACCTGTATGTCAACCATCTCGACCTCCACAGTTACGCCAAAGCGCTTTGCTAACTTACGCAACCATGATGAAACTGAATTCTTTCTCGGCTTCCCCGAAAAAATGTAAAGGACCTTGCAAACCCTCTTTGATGAGGATGGCCCTCCATCGTTGTGCCCTGTTGTATCCTTAGGTCAGACTGATCCCGTCGTGTCCAAAGGTGCCTTGTCCTCCTTGCAATTCATCCCATTGTGGCCCTTCTTGAAGCATCGATTGCAAAGATGCGCAAACTTGCATTTCTGGTAACTGCACTTCCCCTGGTTGAACCTGAAACAGATCTTTGAGCCATCTGGTGCCACGCCTGAGCCCTTGCCTTTTGATTTCCCTTTGCTGCTTTGTCCTTTGCTAGTCTTCCCCTTTCCTTTCGGGTTCCAGTCTCCCCAAGAGGCGCTAGGATTCGACCGCTTGCTGTATAAGGCTAAGGGCGTGATGAAGTGGCGCTCTTTTGTGACTGGACATTTCCATGCCTGTTCCAAAGCAGCTCCAATTTTCAAATGTTCTGTAATCATCAAATTGTATGCACGCTTCCGCACTGCATGCTCGTAGCTGAGGACCAAGCTCCAAGGCGGTGTCTGTATCTGATTCCCCTGCAGGTCCGTCGATGACAAGCCCCAGACGTAATCGCCTAGGATGTAATCCTTGTAGCGCTCCATAGTGTCACGGCTCATGTCTTGAATCTCTTCACGGTTTGTATGTTTCAAAGCAAGCATCAAAACACAATGCAACATCACTGTGAGCCGTCTCCTGAGTTGCTCCGGCCCTGTCGGAAGTGCCACCGATGTTGTGCCCTTCTTCACTGAGAGCGACCCTTTGGAGTCGAAGACCGGCACCATAATATCCGGGTCCACCTCATCCTTCGATACCACCTCCGACAGCAGTTCAGCTCTAAATTCACCATTCTCAAGTTCCTGTAACTTTTTCTCAAGGTACTCTTTTGATGGTGTGACCTTGTCCTCAACCTTTCCATGAGCCCTCATGAACGCATTCCTCAAGTTGATGTAGTCACCAGTAGGTATGGGCTTTGTCCACTCACGTGTGTCCATCTCCGCCTCAACCTCCGCCTGTCTCTTTTGTTTCGTTTGCGTCTCTCTCCAAGCACAAATCACTGAGGCTAACTGTGCCCGCGCTTGAAGGCCCTCATCTGCATCTGTTGCAAAGGAATCCTTCATGACTTGAATGAGGTCATCCTCTGATCTGAAGAAGGATGAAAACTTCTGAACTGTTGTAATGCCGTTTGTAAAGAAGGCAGCTTGCAAGTCATCATCAACGTCATTCCGAGACAATGTGAACCTGAGGTCCGCTCCGCCCTTCTTTAGGGCCTCCTCTCTAGCAATAGGACCAGCCATCGATCCCGTGCGCGTGCAAACTGTTGAAAAAACAATTGACAACAAACTCACTGCAAATGAAGGTGAACATACATGGTAATGACATGGTGCACAATCAACCTGAATTCCAAAATGAAAGAAAGCCGTCTGAATCTGTTTGCTTCAAGTTTCCCTTCCCAGCTACGTTGTTCGTCGCTGAGCCCTGAACTCCGGAGAATCTGCGGATCTCTCATGTTCTTTTGCAAGGGATTTCAACCAAAACAACAGCTCCTAATGCACTGCCATCCAAGAATCACAAGTCAATCAAAATGTGAAAAAACCCCGGAAACCTAACCAACATGCAGCCCCCCATTGAATAATTCCAAACAGTCTTCTCCGGACTGTTCCAGTAAGGCCCCTGCATTCCGGCTTGCTGTGCAAGACTTTTGATCGGCCCGCCACAATTTAGGCAACCTCCTTTTGGGCTACATGTTCAGATCCCGGTCTCTTAGAGACTGATCAGGTTCAAGGCAGTTGCATGTTTTCCAAAACCAGGCTTTCCCTTATTGAGTGGATAAAAACAAATGATTGCCAAAACCTGCACCATGCCAAACTTCTATGCAAAGATTGTGAAACGTCAAATCAATTGAAAGCATCCAGACAAGATTGCACCGCTATGCCAAGACAGGTTCAAATCACAACTAATCAGTTCCCTCTGGATCTTCCGAGCTTGTGGCACTATCTGAACTCGAAGTGGAGGACGAGGACGAAGATCCTTCAATTGCCTCCGTCACACTGGTTTTGGGCCAACATACCTTGCAGACATGTGAATAGTCTGACCCTTCTGGCATCTGGTAAAACTCTACTGAGGACTTAAAGGACATCTCACGTCCCATCCAGCAGCCACCTTGACTCTTGTGCAAACGTCTGCAACGCCTACCACTGTTCACTACCACATACAAAGGTTTCCTGGTCTCCTTTTCCGTTTGATGTTTCTGAACTTGCGAAGCATCTGCATTGGGCTCCGACTGGATGTCCTCCGATTTCTCCTCTTCCCCGACCTGACCAGCCAGCTCACAACCAGGCTGAACCTGCCAGTGCATAGATTCCTCCAAGTGAGAAATAATCAACTGCACCTGATGTTCAGGCAACTGTTCACATCTGTCCGTGATCCATGACATTGCACTTTCAATGATATCTCTTTCATCCAAAAGACCTGTCCTGTTGTTCACCCTGACAGCTTTTGCATATTGTTGCTGAAGCCTTGCTACCACACCATTGTACATCCTGATGTATGTGTCTGATCCATCAGGCTTCCAACGACCTAACATGTCACGCTCCTCTTTTGCAGTTCTCAAAAGGGCCAAACCAGTTGGAAGTGTTGCACGTTCAGAATGCTCTGTCCAGAAGGTTGATAAAGATGGGTCCAACAGAGCTTCTGTTGTTCCGGGTCGTTTGGCAGCTTTGCGAACATATGAGGAATACGAAGTGACACCATTGTATGTCGCCATGGATCTCCTAAAACCAGACCAGTCTCTATTCAACTTCGGCAACATGTAATCACGTTCAAAGTTTGCATGTGTCTTGAAAAGATCAAACCCAGTCTTCAGCCAAAAAGGGCTTGTAACATATGCATGCTCTGAGACACAAACCGGCAGCTCCTGAACCCTCTTGGTGGGCCCTGTTGTTTTCGTGATACGCAAGATTGTTGTCATGCGCCCTGCATAGTACTTCAACTCCTTAGGGACCACTTTCTGTATGTCGTCCCAACGGAGTGAAGCCCAGATCTTGAAGAGCTTGATCCAAGCTACTGCTCTTGTACCCATCAGCAGTTGGTCGTTCTCCACCATAGCCTCTAATGATTCCAGAAAAACTGCAGGATACCTGGGTGCTCTCCTTTTTGGTGGAGAATCCTTCGACAGCATCTCTATTATGTAGTCCTTGACCGACAGGACCACCTGCGATTCCCCAACTCGCAGCCTGTCATCCACACAGGCTGTGCGTTCCATCCATGTGACCGCCTTGACTATCAAGACAGGTATGGTCGGCCCGCAAGGCTCATCAAACCTTGAAAATAAATACTCCACCAAATCACCAGGTACGGGGTAGTCAATCACCCCCTTTGCCGCTTCCAACCATTGCATGAAAGCCATCCAGGTCTTGACATAACGCTTCAACGTGTTGTACCTAGTGCGACCAGCTAGTGCCATATGCAGA